ACAGCACCCGCAGTTCTTTTGGTTTTTATTCCTTATTATTTCTCACCTGCGAATTAAATAAAGTCGTGGCGATACTTTCAAAATTTACAATTTGACGGACTTTTTTTTTGTTGCATTGGCAGTGAGCTCGCCCACTGGAATCAGAAATTCAAAATCGCTGTCATCTTCGGCCCTACCTTGAGTAAATGTAACACTTCCTCAGAAAATTGAATCAGCTGATTTTAAAAGAGGGAATGTGACAGATTCATGGTAGAATATCCCTCACTTCATTTTAAAGAAGCAGATTCGCGAAAAGAAACTCAGTTGTGACAACAGAATGAACAGTTGCATTCTTGTTCGTAACGTACAGGGAATTCTGAAAATCAGCAGCCTGGAAGATAGAGAACAAATAAAGCTTAGCAAAGATCGGACAGAAGGAGGATTTTTCGGGGCAGAGGAAAGTAGCTCAGTAAGAGGTCATTAATTGAAACGAATCTGGGGACTGGTTATTTCCATATGCATAACAAACCAGGACTTTCACCAAATCTCGTATTAACCTCGTCTGTGCATCTGTGCATTTTATAATTTAGGTCAGAACGTTGTTAATATAATTCAATAGTTTATACTCAAGTTGAACACAGTACACTCTTTATGAACTATCTTGGCCCCTGTGTGGTAGAAGTACCTAATCGGACTGATTAAATAGGCCCAATTCACATAAATAGGAGATATTCCAATTTGGCTTCAAGTCAGAAGCCACTTTGCAGTTCATCCATTTTAATGAGTATTTACAAAAAGCAGCACGCAACAGAATAACATAAAATCCTTTTATAAGCACCGAATGGTTGTCATATGATTGGCAAATCTTTTAAACTGTTAACACAAATTAAATAAGCAGCATTCATGCTTTTAACTACACCAATACGGCAGATCGGCTCTCAGCCGGGGACGAGAAGCCAGAGTTGCTGCTTTGACCTCTCATTATGTTGCGCTTGGGCAAAGTTTGTGAAATATTTGTATTTAGTTAATATATGCCTCGCTAGTATTTCTAAACTTGTGGAGTAGTCAGGTACTTAAGTAGAGGGTGATTTACAGCGCATCATTACGCATCAAGATGCGCCTATTAAAATAGGAGAACCTAATCAGTTTAGAGGGACAAACCGGATTTCGCAAAGTTTCAACTCAAAAATGACTATTAGAAATGAATAGCCAATACCTGTAAGGCAGGATTTTTTTTTAAATCGACCTATTCAGAGATGTTATAACACACCTCTGGATCACGTGGGACTTCAAGCCGGGCCTCCTGGATATTACCACTACACAAGAACCATTATATAAAGCAATATGTTTGCTAAATTACAACGATCATCAACAGTGTTGTATCCTGCCTGTCGTCCCATTGCTTCCTCGCCTACACTGTAAGCCTCTTCGCCCATTTTATTTCGTTATGTCAGAGTAACACGTTTCTCATAACTTTTTGATTCGTAAACAGTGTGACAAATGCAAATTGAGGAATGAAAGGATTGTTTGAGTTTACGTAACCTCCCTTTGAACGGTGTCTTTTCTGCAGTCCAATTGCTGCTGATGGCTCTTTCTCCCCTTAATAAACACTCACCTCTCCGGAGCAGATGATCTGAATCCGGTTTCAGAGACTCTAATAGCATAGGCTCCGCCTTTTACTTTTCAGACTTGTAGTAGTGCAGCATGCAACTTTATTTTTTTTTTAAAAATGCAGTCTTATGCCTCAATTGCGGATCTAATCCGATGTCAGGTGTCTTGCTCTCGGGGTTTCCCCTGCCCCTTTGTAACCCCTTTCGTCCCGATACAAAATTGCAACAAGCCGGCTTTGATCGATTTCAGGATCACGTGCCTCCCGTTGCCACGGTTGCAAATAAACACAACGCGGCGTTGGCTTTCCTGACTGCCAAGTTCGGAGTCGGTCGCCAGATCAAAACGGACCAAGGTCATAGTCTTTACATTAATAATTACAAACCATTTTCCTCTTTAGTTATGTTGGTAAATGAAAGAAAATATAAAAGCAATGCATGAATATAGCACCATTCACAATATTCAGATACCTAAAGCACTTTGCAGTCATGAAATTCTCTTGAAACGTAGTTAAGTCATCATGTAGGAACATGGCAGCCACCTACTACATTTAAAGATCTTACAGTCAACAATGATGACCGAGTAAATTGTTTAAAAACCAAAAGAAATGCGGATGCTGTAAATCAAGAACAAAAACAAAGTTGCTGGAAAAGCTCAGCAGGTCTGGCAGCATCTGTGAAGGAGAAAACAGAGTTAACGTTTCCGGTCCGGTGACCCTTCCTCAGAACTCAGTAAATTGTTTCACTGATGTTGATTGAGGGATAAATTTTGACCAGGACACAGGAGGGAGTTCTCCTTCACTTCATGCAATGTTGTAGGATATTTAATTCTTTCTAATAGCTGGATGGTTGGTTTGGGAATCAGAGTGATGCCAACAGCATGGGTTCAATTCCCATCACTGGCTGAGGTTACTATGAAGGACTTTCATTCTCAACCTCTCCCTTCCCCTGTGGTATGGTGGTCTCCAGTTGAATGACCCCCAGTTGTCTCTCTCTCTAATGAGAGAGAAGCCTGATGGTCTATGGCAACTCAACTCTAAGAGGGCAGGCAGGGCTTTGATTTCTATCCAATCCAATAGCACTCTCTCAGCACTGCACTGGAATGTCAGGTGATTTTCTGAAGGGGAAATCATGTTCAACCAATTTAATGAAGTTCTTTGAGGAGTATGGATAAAGGGCTAAGTGGATGAAGAAGATGTACTTTACTTGGATTTTCAGATAGCATTTGATGAGATGTCACATCAAAGGTTATTTCAAAGAGTAGAAGCTAATGGCATAGGGGATGACATATTGGCATGGAAAGTAGATTGGCTAGTAACAGGAAACAGAGTAGGGATTTAGGGGATGCAATGGCCTAGTAGTATTATCGCTAGACTGTTAACGCAGAGACCCAGATAACATTCTGGGGACCTGGGTTCAAATCCCACCACGGCATATGGTAGAATTTGAATTCAATAAAAATATCTGGAATTAAGAATCTAATGATGACCATGACCCCATTGCTGATTGTTGGGAAAAACCCATCTGGTCCACTAATGTCCTTTAGGGAAGGAAACTGCCATCCTTACCTGGTCTGGCCTACATATGACTCCAGACCCACAGCCATGTGGTTGACTCTGAGCTGCCTGCTGGGCAATTAGAGATGGGCAATAAATGCTGCCTAGCCAGTGACATCCTTCTCCCATTAACAAATAAAGGAAAAAAAAAGATTAGGGTCATTTTTTGATTGCCAAGATGTAACAAGTGATGTGCAACAAGGATCAGTACTGGGTCCTCAACAATCGTCTTTTGATGTGTAGGTATGACTTCAACCAGCGGAGAGTTTTTTTCCCTGATTCCCTTTGACTCCAATTTTGCTAGGGCTTCTTGATGCTACACCCAGTCAAGGACAGTCATTCTCCTATGTCTGGAGTTCAACTCTTTTGTCTATATTTGAACCAAAAGCTGTGATGAAGTCAGGATCTGAGCGGCCCTGGAAAAACCTAAATGAATGTCAGTGAGAAGATCATTGCTAAACAAGTGTTCCTTGATAGCTCTGTTAATGACGCCTTCCATCACATTACTGATGATTAACATTAGATTGATGGGGCTGTGATTGACTCAGTAGGACCTTTCCTATGCAAATTGCTAGTAAGGTACTCGTGTCATTGTGTACTGGAATAGCTTGACTAGCAGCATGGCAAGTCTTGGAGCACAAGTCTTTAGTAATATTGCCAGAATGTAGTCAGGGCCGACAAATGAAGTCTGGGCAATTGGGAAAAGACAAACTGAGAGTACCAATGGGACTTTAAGGAACATGACTCCTTGGGGATGATTAGGGAGTTAGGAAGAGGAATACAAAACATGTTTTTTTTAAAACACTTCCACAAGTGTCGACCTAAGTATCGACACCAGTGTAATTTCTATTTATTACCTGACAGATTTTATTGCCATGGTCTCTACGCTTATCTGGAATTCACTATACATTATTATAAATTAGCTTTACTTAGACGACAATCAAGTACAGAAGATTTTGTATTCTAAAATATTGAAACAGTAGAAAAAAAACTGAAGCTTACAATGTGATGGTTTGAGCTACATTAAACTGTCTGAACTCTGTTTTCCTGTCAATGGATGATGTCTGACTTGGTAAA